CGCTATAAAACAAACGAAGATCACGATCTGACTACTCCGTAGACAGAACTAGTTAACGGTTGGTTGTTGATCTTGATGTAATAGAATCTCTCTGCGTATGTTGTATCTCCTCGGCACAGACAGCTTCATTCTAAGATGCCGATCGATGGAGCTCCCAAGAAAAGACGATCCGATCTAGACCAGACATTGTGGGGGACCACTTGTGGGGGTATGGGGGAACTTTGGTCATATTGGGCTTCATAATGCGAGACGGCTATACATACCTAGGTAGAGTGTGGATTGCTTGAGTCAGGGACTACGGAGTATGGGTTCTGACCTTTCTAGATTGGTATAATGGAGTTGATATAATTTCAGGTCCATGTGGGAGAGAATCATCCAACCTTGGAATGGTTTTACTACTTTCTCCACTGCTCGCCAATAGCCGAGCGGTAATTTGGTTCCATGGTTCCATGGTTTTAGTGTTCCAATTTTTTCTTTTTCCTGTTTTCCTGTTTTCCCGGTTTGGTAACGATTTTGGTTTTGGTTTTTTAAAAACTCTGAAAAGAAAGTTTGGGATCAGCCTGAGCCGCAACACGTAGTTTTGCCTGAATTCAAGCTAGAACTGGACTTCTCTCTTTGAAATTCTGTCGATCACTCGTATCGAAGTTGCCATTTAGAGGTCATACCCATCTTTCCAGGCCCTTATTGTACTCCATGGGTATATCCAGCTTTGTTTCGGAAATGATTTCACTTCGAAATTATTGGATAAAGCCCCAGGATCTGAGATGTGCGCGCTCTCTGCCCCATTCCACAAAGCTTGTTTCCTATGTCTCTCTCCGGGAAGATCGGACTAGTTTCAACGGAATGGGTCGAAGCGTTGAGGTTGGGGATTATGACAACACATGGATTCGATGGATAATGAAAAGATTACCGATCCACTTTACTTTTGCTTGACTTCCCTTTTTGACTTTACTCTTCACCGATGCACTCCGTAGACTATGTAGGTCTTGTCGATCATCGGGGACCACATGGAACCAGAATCTACTTATGTAGCTAAGAGGTGAGCTTTCCAAGAAATTATGTTTGACAGGTTACATTGTGGATTCATGCCAAGCATTTCCTTTTTCCTTTTTGTCTGGACAATGTGATTCTGTCTACAATATACGGAGTACTAATAGTATTCATATTCATATAATATCTTTATCAGATACCATAACATAAATCAAAACATACAGTCTCCAGGTACCGGGATCCTAGTGGACCTTCGGGAACGGTCCATAGCGTACTCCGCAATGTCATTTACGTACTCCGTACATACCAATACAATACCCGCACCCACCACTCCCTGCGCCGTGTACCCCGATGCTCCCGAAAGGCCCAAGCTCCTGAACTCTCCTTCCTCATTCGAATGATATATACTCCGTATATTTCTTGTAGATCGTTCGATAGGTCTGGAAGTACAGAGTAGACTCTTTTGACTCATTCTCTGATATAGGAACAGCAATGCCGGTAACAGGGATATGCTCAAATTACAGACTCCATACTACATACCCCTTTAGGAAATAAGTCCAGTTTTAGTCCCTTTAGATTCCCCAAAGCTTTCTCCACCGCGCGTCAACGCCGGCAAGCTACACAACGGCGTCTACTAAGTAGTTTTAGTCCAGAAAATAACGTAATATCCTAGCTCGGATAGTACATAGCCACGCCCTATGTCGTCATCTTCTCTATTTCAGAAGTCTCTCATACATTAGGCAAAGCTCTAATGTCGCCATGCACCCTACAGGGGACATCCATGACGACTATACACTTTCACTTGGGTATTCTAGCAAATTATCTCTTCGGCCATTCACACGGGGAAGTCTTCTGGTCCATCCTGGTTGCCTTATATCGCCGTTGGAAAGAGCCCCACACCGACTCTTGAGCAGCCCGTAGGGATCTCGCAGCGGAGTTTACGGAGTTATCCTACTATACTGTAGATTATAATAAGTCTGGAAATGAGCGTATAGCCGATCAACCCACAAGCGGAAATAACCACGCAAAGCTCTATCCTTGTCTGTTTTTCTCTGCTTTTTCCTATTTCTCTCTCTGCTCCGGTATTGCACTAGCACGGAAATAAACCCAAAACATCAGTTTCGGAATTATCTGCAGCTTCACTATCCCTGATGTCCATCCAATATGTTTGATTGACGCATATAATATAATTGGCCCCCTGGAGTGTCCATAGGGCCAAGAACGTCGATGCGACTAACAGGGCTTGGCTTGGGGGCCGGAAATATCAGCCTCGGTCGCAGAATGCAAGGCCCGATTCTCCGATCGTGAATCAGCTGGAATTGTTCTCCTATTTGCCATGTTTCATCGAGTGCGTCTTTCCCGATCTTAACGACTCCTCCTATATCATGTCCTGCATATACGCGAATCAACATCTCAGACCAATCACCGTCGCAAAATCGGTGTTTTGGTTTTGATTTCCTCCCCCGACACATTCTGATACATTAGCTGGCAAGCGGCTAGATCCTAGTTTCCCCCAGGGAATCTGTAGTCCGATGCGACCACGGAAGTAACTGCCCCGTTTATGCCAATCTTGAAACTAGAAGCGGAGGCCATGCAAGACCAAGGCCTTTTCAAGTCGAGATCGCCGATGTCTGTATTCGAAATCATAAATCATTGTCGATGGAGTACGGAGTACAGCATGCTATATTGCATGGCGGCTCGAAATTGGCCCCATGGCAGACGCCACTGTATGATTTACTGATGGAAGGGAAAGATAAAAATAGTATGATTAGGATCGAATGAAAATCTCCGATAGAAGCGAAATGAGCAAGAGACGAAGCGAAATGAATACCTACGAGTCGAAGAACCTCTCTCAACGATTGGAGGTACCGAGCCCCGTTTTCAAGGCTAACGCATAACCGTCGGGTTTAGGCGCAGTTTGTGACTTGCATGTGGGGGGGATTAAAACACCCTACGGAGTAGTCTCAGCCCGAACCGGGTTTGTATGTATGTACTATCGCACATCCGGATCACCGAGATCCTAATGTATGAGGCTTTTATGTCCACTTATGTAGTAGTGCGCGGGTACTGTGTTTGGGATCCCAGGGAAAGGACAACACAGGGTCTTCCGAGGGTGTTATGTCCGTATGTTGTATGTTGCATGTTGTATTTCCTGGAAATAATGGTGATCTTTCTGGAGGCGGGATCTACCGGCCCTTTTCATATTCCACAGGTTCCAACTCTCCACTCTCGGGCTCAATCAAACCCCTGTACGGATCTGCGTCGAAAGTTAGCGGTGTCGCTCGACAGGTCCATGTCCGGAGACTCCGCGTAGATAACTTTTGAATGGGAGAGGAATCCAAAACATCCCCGTGAAAGGGATCCGGAAGTAGAAAACATATACAACATAGAATCACAATCGAATGACCAGAGAAGATCTTCCAATTCAAATCGGATATGGTATCCGATTGAATAAAGCCTTACGATAGCCTTACAAACCATAAGAAAACCGGTTTTGGGCTGCAGTTGAAGTCTTGCACTTGAGCATACGTTCTGATTTTTATTTCTTTTCTTTTCTTTTAGTATTTAGATATTCGAATTAATACCCCGTATACAATAAAAACAAACCTACACAACTCCCTAGAAGGCGCAGGTGTCTCGCAAAGTCCTAAGCAAATCCCTGATTAAAAAAAAAAAAATAAGGAGAAATTTTTCTGTTTGCCACAAGGCCCTGGGCCATGTACACTAAAACATAACCAAGTACACCGGCCCCCCCCACGGAGCTGAGAGACTGTTTTGCTACTAAGTGTTTAGCCAGAGTGCAACGTTGGAATATTTCCTACTACCTTAGATCAACAGTTACTCAATATACATAACAGGAACCCAGTCCGTATTGGTGGATTAACCTGGTAGAGATCCCTGGATAATCCACCATTGTCTTAAGACATGTATGTCTAAGGAGAACATAAACAAATTGCTGTTGCATTCGGGAACTCGGGACGAGAAGGCGAAAGAAACCCCGAATGTATTCTAACATTATCATATTCTCATAATCTAATACTATTGTTGATTTGGGATTGTCTGGCAGGTGGGTGAATAATACTTTGAGAGATATGCATAGATAATATAAGTAAATAATTACCCAAATAGTCCTCTAAATGTCCAAGCAAAATAATATTAATAATATGGAAAACCCTTTCTAGACAGGCAAGCGAGAACGAGCGCGAATGAAAAGAAAACGTCTTTGTTAGCGAGACAGGGTCTCCTCCTTCCTTGGCTTTCAAGGCCTCCCAAGGCTCCGAGGGAACCTTGGAAAATGGGGCCACCGGTATCAACCAGAAAAAAAAGTAAAAGCATAAAGATATGGAGGAAAATAATGAAAAGCCACACGAGTCATGTAAGCCAATTTATTTATTTCCGGGTCGTTTACCAATCTAGGCATGGTATGACACTAACTAGAGTATGTTGTAGGATAACGCCCAGACGTGAGATAATACGGGAGGAGGCTGAGAGGAATATCTATACGAGAAAGGATTCCGTTAAAGCCTTAAGGCTCTCTGATGGAGCCAATGAGAGTAGAGGTTCCATCGCAGTAATATTCCTGGGCTTCTGCTGATACATGGGCAATATCGGAATGACCGTCTTGGTAAAGAAATTCTTCGGGATCTGGTAAATAGACGATACAGGCAGATGGGAATATAACAGAAAAGGGGGAATTGGGAGAAAAAAAAAAGAAACAAAAACACGTCCCATGTTCAGGTATCAAGAAAAGATTCGCCAAGGGAAACACCTTTGCCTCCGTTTAAAATGACAATATATAGAAAAGTAGCATAATATCGCGAGGGGGAATCCATAATAAAAGCGCCCAGAAACCTAGAAATGGAGCAGAGATATAGAGCCATAGAAACAAGCAGATGCGAATCTCTGCTTTGCAATTCAAGTAAAGATAAAAGGCACAGCCGGAGAAAGCAGGGAAGTCGTAACGGGCATTAAACACGCATTCGGTCCACAAATCTAGGTGTAATCTCCTCTTAGCCTACTCCCAGAAAGCCCCAGTCAGTCCCCTCCGCTTGGTTCAAGAGACGAGAGCCGGGGGGTTTATACGCATAGTTTGGGTGGTATGAAACCATCATTGGTTGTTCGGGAGGCAGTTGGTGGCCTTGAAAAGATGGATGTTGGTATTGTTCTGGGAGGTAGTTCGCGCGTGGACTGTCGTAACGCTGTTGCATCATTTGTAAGTATTGTTGATGCTGCTGTTGCTGTTGCTGTTGCGGATGCGCGTGGTGTTGCGGATGCGGCTGTTGAGCGTGTGGCATGTTTACCGGCGAGGTTCCCGGTACGGTCTGGGCCACGATCGGAGGGGCAGCTTCGTGAACCGGCACGGTGCCCATCGGGACACTCTGGGGCGAGTAAAACTCATGACTCGGTGTCGCCGATTGCGGGTAAAAAGGTTGCTGGGCGAGCATGTACTGTTCAGTCGGGACCGAGACTGATACGGGTGTTTGGTGGTAAGAGTGCTCGGAGGTCGCATCTTCTGAGGATGGTCGGGTCAAGCTCCCTGGAGGGTGGGAGCGGTGTTGGTGTTTGGTGAGGGTGGTCTTGCGACAAAAACTGCAGTTTCAACAAGACAATTAGAATAGGGCTTCGATATTTCCCACCCAAAATACTTACCTCCGTTCACATGTAGGCTCGTGGCATATGTATGGCCGCTTACCAGTGTGGATTCGGCGATGGCGGGCCAAACTCGATGACTATGAGAGATCATCAGTTAAATGCGCATGCGAGCTTCAAAAATGGTGCTTACGTCGGAGAATGCCTTCTGACAGCCTTCATGGTCACAAACATGGGGCTTTTCGCCAGTGTGGGTCCTCGAGTGTACGGTCAAGGCACTGCGTTGAATGAAGCTCTTATTGCAATCCTTTACGGTGCAATGATACGGGCGCTCGTTGGTGTGGATGCGATAATGGCGACAGAGATCCGACTTGCGATTGAAAGACTACCAAATAACAGGTTAGAATGTGAGGGTGGAAATGAGTATCAAGAGCTGGAAGTACCCACCTTTCCACAATGCTCCCATGAGCAGTTAAAGTCGCGCCCACTGCCTGGAGCCATGATGCAAAGTATCTGAGAGCTCAAATAACAGAAGACGGGAGGAGGAAAGCCAAAGGAAGGGGGAAAGAGGGGAAAGAACGTAAGCGCATATGCGATCGCAGACGACCTTGAAATGGGGGAAAATTAGATCCTGGTCAGGCTGGATGGGTAGCCGGGATATTGCGAATCCAGGGCATAATATAATGAGGGGAATGATATACGATAAAGCAAAGATAAAAGAGGTATTAAAAAGAGTATTTAATGTTAAGAGACCTTTGGTGAAGGGGGGAAAAAAACGGCGCGGATGGGACCGTAGAAGAGTATATTATTTTATTTATATTTTTAGTTTTTTATATTTTCTTATTTTCTTATTTTCTTATTATTTTACTATTTTATATATTTTATTTTATATCTGTTGGATATTATTATAATTATTATTATTTCATTCGAAGGTACCAGGTACATTGTACTGACATCTCCCATAGTATACTAATAGACCAATCAGAGGGCGAGTGAATGTCACTGCCTACATCGATTTCTTTCCTTTATTTTTCCTTAGTTTTCCTTCTTTTCCTGATTCCCTATTTCTATTCCACTAAATCTTGCTATACAAATATTGTCTCAAATTTCCCAGTAGAAACAGTGTACCACATCAGAAAACCGTCTAATACCTGTGGAGGTAATTTAATAAGTCTTTGACTCTTTCAAAAGAAAGTGAAAAAGGTAAATTGCGATAGCCCAGTGAAAAATAGAAACCCCCACATTACCAGCTTATTTACCAAATGCTCCTCCAAACGACAAGACATGCTAGACTGGACTGGGCATGGAATGGTACGGTATTGAATACACTTTGAATACACAGTGACCCGTATCTGTGCAAAATAAACTTCCTCGTCTCTTGGCCTCTTTTAATCACTCCCAACCTTCCAAGGTTGGAGTCTGTTATATATCTTCCTGAGGGGGTAACTATCAACTCTATATGTATGGTATACTGTACACAGATTGAGTTTCAGGGTCTTCTAAAGGGGCTGCCACGTCTTGCCAAGTAGTCGGCTTGTGTTAAAGATGATATCATACATAGTACGAAGTACATAGTTCTCGCCCGCAGGAAAAAGCCATTTCATGGGGGCCCTTGGGGATTCGTCCATTCAAACGTGAAAATAGCAACTTACACAATTAAGCCAAGCCAATTTCCCAGGGTGAGCCACGGCCGAACTACTCCGATTTTGCCAAATGAGAGCGTAAGGTCACTTAATGCTAAGAACGATCTTCTGCGGGCAGTAAACGGAGAATAGAACTAATTTCCCAAGGTCTGGAAGTTCCCCATTTATATCCGTGTCTCCATAAAAAAGGGGAAATTAAAAACAGCAAGATGGCATACATCGTAAACCTGGAGTCAAGAAGAATTTAAAAAACTGAGCAGAGGCAAAGGAGTTAATATAAAGCAAGAAAGCAAGAAAGCAAGAAAGCAAGAAAGCAAGAGAGCAAGACTGCAAGGGATGGTCTTTATGACGCGGCATCGGGGCCAACGGTGATAACTCGGATTGCTCCATCCCGAATCAGGTACCCCAGCTCATTCCCGAACACAAGTCCTCGGGTCCCATTTCCTTAAGGTTGGGGCTGTTCCCGTTCTCTCCACTTGTTTTAAAATTGTATACAATTTACTTTTGTAGATGCACTTTATGAGGGGAATATCGCTCTCACATTCCCTCAATCTCATAGACTTTGCGATATAACATGCTATCCCTGATGAATAGGGTGCGTCCCTAAACCTTAGAAGGGATTATTTACTACTTCTCTTCACCGTACTCCCCGTATAACGCACATCAATCATTTTAAATTGCTTTTTATCCCCGTGGGTCGATCACTTGGCACCCATCAGCCACACTCGAAAGTCTGTTGTAGGCCAGAAACAAATGGCGACGGAGTGTACGGAGTACTTGACTTACTATCCACGTCTTGGCTCAAATAGAATTCCGGTGGCGAACCCATGTGCCTTAAAAGACCAAACAGATACTCGCCTCATCAGGTGCATCGGGTAGCCTCGGTTGGCCCGGGTCTTAGCCAGTAGACTCAAAGTGTCGCAAGAAGCTTCGGTCTTTGCGCAAGTTATGCGGTGAGGATCACAGGAAGATGCCAGAGCGGGTTAGATTGGAAAAGCATACAGCTGAAACGGAAATAGAAGCTGTGGCGTTTTGGGTAACTGCCTACTCCGGACTGAACGTGGCAACCCACTGTCATCTTAACTGCGGCGATCTTCTGATCACTTCAACCTTATTACGCCGGGGGAAATGGCAGCCGACCTATGGCTTCATTTTTCCTTCCCCTTGTCTTTCTGTCTCTTTTTCGTGATCGACAAGCTCGTTTACTTACAACCTGGTACCGAAGTATGGAACACGGAGTACGCCGTAGAGCTTCGCCTAGTCGTGTGCTGCAGATCTATGGCAGATTGCCTGGAGGGAGGTAGATCTTATTCTGAGGACCAATAGTTCTGCGCTCATGATAAATCCGGATGATGAACACAGTGTACGGGCAAGAGCATGTGTTGGTTGGACCCACAGCCGTGGAGAAAATTGCCTATTAGTGGCTATACATGCAGCCCGTCTCAGCCATTGAGGTAATCGAACATAATCTAGGAATATATGATTATTTGGGATTAGTGGAATAAAATAACAGTAAGACGAATGTAGATTAAACCCCCCCAAGGCTACTGTATATTGCATAGTATACAGATTGCACAGCCCATCATTTCCCCGGGGTCCAGACTCGCATACACGCTCGTGTTGACGGGAAACTTTGGAAACGAAATGTTAAAAAAAGGCGCCAAAGTCGCCGATCAGACCCTGAGAGATAAACTGCACCTATCGTCGACATCGCCCTAACTGAGATGCACGCTAGATTGCCTAGGTAATCGGTAATCGCTCGGCTACAATATATGCGTCTGTTGATCAGGTAGGTACCAGCATGCATGCTCTACTTGAGGTACATATGCATATTTACCATACAAGATATTAAAATGCTGCGTAGGCAGGACGCGGCTGAGCTTGATCCGGAGAAAATCGAAAAACCGGTGTGCTTGCATGCAAGAGAGGAATGAGGCGTCAGTCAAATACACCCAACAGCCTGGTCTTCGGATCCTTTGTTCTCGTGCGCAGACTAGTGTTGGCGTGACCGAATAGGATCCTCTTGTGGGGGGCCCATATCATATTTGGATATTGTTGGGAATAAGCAAAAATGCAGAAGCTGTTCAAAAGCTGTTTAGGAGCTGCATGAGTATCACGCAAGGACAATGGCTTTTGAAAAGGTTAGAGTTCGAATGTGTTTTTCTCTTTTACTCTTTTTTCTTTTCTTTTATTTCCAAGGTTATTTTGTCTCTCTTCCTTTCTCCTCGGCTCGATGATCTTAGAAGCTCTGACTACCCCGCATTTTGTTTCATCTTGGCGATGCAGAGATATGACACTGTTGGGGAGCTCTCTGATTTGACCTTCTTGGGCTTATGGCTAAGCCGCTAATGTTGGTATTGTAGGGTAATGGGTTGGATACGAGGTAGATATTATTAATTTACCTTGTACAATCCATGGATGAGAATGAGAAGGAGTTTTACCTAGGTACTCTGTACTCCGTACAACACTGTGCATTAATGGTTCGGAAATATCTCTTGTCGATCACCTATACCATGTGAAGTGCCGAGAGATATGTTATATGTTGTACATAAAAAAAAATAATACCATCGAGCTCGAAAATAAATATCCTCCTGTCGCCAAAAGCCACAAAATTAATATCCGACGCGCGCATGGCGACGCACTAATGGGAGAAGCTCATTAGGCTGCTACATATATCGTACATATCCTCCACTCTGGAACCAAGCAAGCTAGGAAGCTAGGGCTCTGTTCCGTCAGGCTATTAACTCCGGGAGCCTCCCCCCCCAGGAGAGACGGTATGTCTTCCCCAAGTGTATTGTATGGAGTATACGAGGAACGATGATGATGATGATATCCCAGTACAACATAGAATCAGCCGGAAATAAATTCCTCGCATATTGCATTATCTTCCAAGGTTGTTCTGGTCGAATGTCGGTCAACACTCGGGATTTGCTCCTATCAGCACTAATGATAGCTTACCAACCAGGATCTTGCGACTAAGGGTGAGGAGCCACCAATTGACCCCTTGCAGGCATTTTGACTTCGAAGTTAGAAACCAAATGTTGAAGACCAACAGCGCGAAGATAGAGAAGAATGTGACCAAATCAAAAACTTACCGCAAGCCCCTATCACAGCTGACAGCAAAGTTAGGAGCCTTGGAACCTTACAAGGTTGGGACTTTCCAAGGTTCCTTAGAAGGTACCTACCTAGGTAGGTAGGTCTATAGGCCTCCTTACTGAAAGCCCGGGGTGCTCTTGCCGTAACAGACATCGGGATGTTGTCTAAAATAGGTAATAGCACGTAAATATGGAAGGAGCTATCGAAGAAATGACTCTTAATTCCTCTTAATTCCCCCGCAAAAGACAAAATTCAAAATTCCACCATTTCCCCGATTTCTGTGAGGGGAATCCCCCTAACGGGAGAAACATCGGTCTCGATTCTGTGCAATCACCGTCTCATGTTACTTTCAAAGCCCGGAGCCCAAGGACGAGAAAGGAATAGCGCCTGGTCGGCTTGGCTTCTTTCCAGACCTGCATCCCCCTTGTCATCTGATGTACAACATACAATATACGTTGTAAAATAGCATCTTCTTAGGAAAAGATCCTTGCTCATTCGCGGGCATGACGTCTTCTACGGGAATGGCGTGGATTTTGTAGGGCCGTCTCAGCCGTCGGGTACGCATGCACGCCTTGCTGCAACTAACGTGGGATGGAGCACATTAGATAGCGTGGCTTGCTATCCTTGCTTGGAGTACGGAGTACGCATGTGCATTTCCTTGGTTTGAGATACAGTGTGTGGATACATGTACACTTGGGTTTGGGTATACTGGCCGTTATTGTCTTCCATAGGAAATAGTGAGACTTCGAACCCCCGAATTGCATGACTCGCCATACATATGTACTTTCAATTCATACTAGGGCGAAAATAGCTCGTTTTTGATCTACAGGTCTAAGACCAGTCTTTCTTTTTTATGTATCGCGGTCGTTCACCAGACACCACACCGTGATGCTGGGCGCCCTTATTACATCGCTGGAAATCCCAGTCTGTATATCAAGGAGATGACTGCTTTGCTGCGGCATAAGTCCACATATCTCTAAAAATGCGGTATAGACGTCGCCCACAGAATAGCCCTGTAAGACCCCTCCGGAAGCAATCTCAAGGATGAGAAAACGAGAGCCACAATGCCAAACCGCGAAATTAAGTATACTGCCAGAGAAATGGTTAAGAGAATCAAAGCCTAAAAAAAATGACGGGAGCATTTCCTTCCACCTTAGCCACATGCAAACGTCTTGCATCATCATTAGTAAACAGTAGATGAAGATCGAAGCAACTGAAACAATAGTAAAAGCACGCCAACTTGTCTGTTCTGCTTTGGTAGGGAATTTAAAGTTCCAACTGAGTTCCAACGTTAGCTCTCGACACCTCAGAAGCTCGTACCGGAAGGTTTATACTTACGCAGCCAGATGAACAGCGCAAAAACTCAGAGCGACCACACTGCCAATGACATCACTGATAATCTTAATGGACGAAAATGTGTTCCTGGCGAGCCAACTCTTCATTCAGCCAAGTAGTAGAAGCCAGAGGCGTGTTCAGGAGCTTCCGCTCGTGGTAGAGCTCACTCAGGGCAGATATTACACTGTCGTTTCTGATGCATGCCTGTAGATGAACCCATTTTCCAGGTTTCACATCCGTGGCGTGTCCTATCTCGGCATTCATGTCTTGGCGATTGCACCGTGGAGGGACTATAACAGGCGTGGCCATATCCTTAGGCTTACACCACCAGAAGCCATATGTGAGAATGCCGCATAGCACACAAGCAACCGCAGTGAGCTCGATCAGTGATATTGGAAGGTAGTGTACCCGTCTAGCTATAACATCGACAAGAAACCAGGTGCTCTGAAAGACCGTGAAGCCCTTTGCGAACCAATCCAATCCGCTTTCGACCGATCTTCAATATCTCGATCTCTAATATCAGAACATGGGATGACTCCAGCTTGTATAAGCAGATGAATATCTCCCCACCCAGCACTATAGATCCACTCATCCTGTGTCTGCAAAGCTATTCCACCCATTATAAAGCAGAAGCAGTGAGCAAGCGTCCACTCCGCGTTCAGAGGCTGCAGTTCAGTGTCGGCAGGAGAATGTTCCATCGGCCTGGTCCGGACCGGAAGCCATATCTTGGACATTGATATTTCAGAGTCCTTTGCTGCCTGCGTTCTATTGCATGTAGCTTTCAAGCCTCTGGCTGCAAAGAATTCTGCAACAGCTGCTCCGGCTATTTCTCCGGGATAAGAATATTATAGAGCCTGAGCCGGGCCCTGTCCACTATTAATCGCCAGTCTGATTGACTCGGGGGCCCAACGTCCATGTGAAGGACTGTCCATGTGCAGGCGAGAATGTTTGAGAAACATGCCCACAGAATGTCCCACGTGGAGCGAGTATCATCTGCGAACTGCCAGCCGACCAGGGTTGTTGGATTCGAGGCTAGCGAATGTTTCGGCTAGAGAGAAGAGTAATACCAAAAACAGCATTATTGAGGTAGGTTCACGGGCGTATGTTAGCCTCCGCTTAGGGGTGGCGCAGGGGTCTGCCAATGTGTACTCATGTGAGGTTTAGTCCGAAGCCTTGAAGGGAAATGACTCGAGCGAATCTGCCTGCCAAGGCACCAAATGGTTTGAAGCAGGGAGACAGAAATTGGGGGATCTATGGCTATCAGACAACCGCATATTCTTGCATGTATGAGAGACCGAATTGCTGCTATTTGGGACGAGGTAAGTCTGTTCCTATAGACAACCTTGGAATGATCTATCACAGTCAGTGGGGTTTGCTCTTTTGCAAACATTAGTACGGAGTACGGAGTACTGAGGATTGTGTCGAGGCCGTTCCATACATGTGGGGTTTCAAGGTTGGTATCTTGGAGCTGTACTCCGTAACAATACCCAAAATCTAGAGTAAAATTGTAAAATTGTAAAATTGACGCCCCTGAGCGGAAGTCCCCCGCCAGCACAGTCCAGCATATCAAAGCTGATTGGCTCACTTCCAAAACTGGGGCCGGGTCCCGACCTGAAGTCGGGCGGCCCGAAGTCAGCACCCGACCAATATCCGATCAGCACCCGAGCATGCCTGGACCGGTCGACTCGACGAAGGTCTCTTATGTTTGTACTCCGCACAACATTGAAAGTTCAAGCAGTGGACCCGTGGACCGGCTGGACCTTCCCTCTTACCTGTTCACCTGCCCAGGTGGGTGCGAGCAATCACCCCCTTGCCTCTACTGTATTGTATGGATTCTACCTAGGTATATAGATGTAGGCCTTGCAAACGAGCTTGCTGTTAACTTTCTTTGCACATGTCTGGAGCGCGTGGAAAGCAGCTTTATCTGCAACAACGGAGATTGCTTTGCTAGGATATGTTTCAGTCAAAAGCGTAGATATTATCATCATGTCCAACCCATTTATTGCTTGTAGAGAACAATCACCTTAGAGTTGCATCTCATCTGCCTTGACTCAGATAATATTTGTCGAGATATCCATTTGATCTTGAGTAATAGTGATGCTGGTGGATTCGGATCTGGAAATGCTCCGCTAAAGCAACTAGGACCCCTGCATCTGTTGATAGGGCTGGAGATACTACAGCATAAACACTTTCTCATGTAGAATAGGGCAACAGGTAGTAAAATACAATACAGAGCCTTATATAGCGAATATAGCCGTTGGCATCATGCGCATAGACAGTTGTGACTTTTGGGGCAGTGCTACATCCATGGATATAGAGCACTATATACGAAAGCACAGATGATATACATCAGGCAACCCAACATCGACCCGGAATAGTAAATAGTAACAGCCCGGAATAGGAATATGTCCGTGAGATATCTTACTACCTCCACTATACCAACTCCAAAATCCCAACCAACCCAACTCGAACTTACCAACTCGTCAGCCCGCGCTCACGATCAAACCCAGCCCGCAGCTGCTTCCCAGGCTTGAGCAACTTGCCCTGCAAGACAGTGTACCGAATGATATTCTCACACTCCTCCGGCCGCACACGTGCCAACCAGATGCCCTGCGCAGCACCCTCATCCACGACCCCCTCCGCATCCGCAGGATCATCGCGCTTGTACCAATCAAAGTCCCGGCGGCGGTACACAATCACATTCGCAGAGTATTTGTGTCCACCGACATGGCTAATGAAATAGATACCCACACCACCGGGGCGCTGGTCGTCCATGTCACGGTACAGACCGAGCGGACGCAGGTGGCGCTCGAACTCGCGGCGGAGCAGGGGTGCGGATTGCCCACAGCGTGCGTCGCGCGTGCGCTGCGAGCAGAGGAGGATTACTGCTGCGTGCGGGCAGGGGTGGGACTTGAGGGATGTGGTGATTGATGTTGTGGATGGGTGTGGGAGGTCTGGTGTTTCCGGGGAGTCTTGGTCTTGGTTTGCCTCTGTTGGTTTCTCCGGCGTGGGTGGGATCGCACCTAGTGGTGTGGTTGTTGTCAAGGACCGGTTTACGAAGTTCTCGATCAGATCTGGGACTAGCTGTGGGGTGACGTGCTCGATGACGGTGAAGCTCGGCAGCAGGAGGACGTTTGTTGGTTGCTTGCCTGCGTCGGCCATATGGTATTCGTCCGGGACTGGCATGTTTGATGCTGACAGCTTGAGTCGCTGTAAGAAGGTTCTTGTTAGCTTTTCTGTGTGTGCATTGGCTTTGGCAGGTATAGAGGGATGGTGGTGGATATTGTCATACCCCATTGCTCGGTTCCAGTCCCCCCTTCTCAATGGCTTCCATGACGCTCCCTTGCTCGTCTGCCACGTCTCGCACCCAATCTGACTTGCCAGTTGCGACGAGCATGTGCGTAGCCCATCCGTTGACTTGTCCATATAGTTCGTCTTGGTGATCGACATCGAATTTTGCGGGGTATTTGATTGTGCATGTCGCACAGTCGTGCAAGCAGTCTTCGCCGTCTACTGCTGGATCGACGTTTTTGAACAGCTTATCGCTTGACGAGATTCTTTGAAACCCCTCTGCGGCGAGGGCGTTGTCGCCCACAGCATCGGTGGTGAGGTCGGTTTTGGAGGAGGCGGCAGAGACGTTGGAGGAGCTAAAAAGGGAGGAAGTCCCTCGGCGAAAGAGATGCATTGTTACAGTATATGGATATATTCTTCAGCAGAGCGAGAAAGGAGAAAAGCCTGCCAGTTTGGCCTCTTTTTTTTTATGACGCGTCGTAGAATGATAAATTGATCTTATCAATCAATTTTGCAGGTTCGCCAAGCCCTCGGAATGTTTTCCGCCTAAGTCAACCCCACTGACCACACTGACCAGGGGAGGTAAAGCCCTAGAGAGATTCTAATGTTGGCGCAATTGGGTGCCCAAATGGCGTTGCTCTATAAGTAATATACAGGGTATGAAAATTTAACATTATCACTGCCTACGTCCAGCGTAGTCAATTGTATACGGCAAATCTGTCGGATCCCGTGGCTGCGTCAAGCGAATGACACTCCCTCCCGAACTGCCAGATTGGCCCGATGCCACGCGTCGTAGAGATCTCATAGAAGGTGTGCGGAAAGGACTTCGTGCCGCGTAGTATCCACTGCCTGTTGACAGTCCCGAGGCGGGGCTCTGCATTGCGGGCGCAGTGTCATACCCGGACTGGGTCTCCCAGGTAGACGCATTCGATGGACGAAGGCTGTCACTCCGCACGGACCCTAGAGTCCCGTCATAACCATAAGTCCCAATGGTATCGGTTTCTCCCTCTTCGTCCGAGGGCCCGATGCCAGATTCGCTATAGGCTCGTCGGTAGCTTGCACTGTCGCGAATTTCATCCAGGATCGGTGGTGCAATAGATGTCATCCCTCTCAAGATCTCCGCAAACAGATGCATCAGGTCGCGGAATTCCGCCTCGTGTAAATGGCGCGGCGAGAATCGGGCTCGTTCGTACAGCGCAAGGAAATCCACACCGAGTTCTGGCGGATAGATAGCCCCGAGGGACGTCAGATGGCGGATATATTCTCTCAGGCCCATTGACGCAGGACGTTGCAATATTTCCACCACGCGCGTATCCGGAAGAGACTGTGTCGCAAGGTCGCCTGACGGATCGAAGTGGTACGTGGCCGCAGGTGATAATGAATCAGCAGGGGCAAGGGAGACAGCTTTAGCTTCAATCAAGCTGGGAAGCTCCTGTATGACCGTGCGATATGGAAGGTTCGGTAAATCCGGCGAATCAGGTGAAGACCAGCCGGGGTGCTCGACATGACCCCATGGGGGTCGTTCGGGGTCAATGAGAAGTGGTCTGTATTTCTGGAAGCTGTCCTTGTCGGTAGAGATATCACGCGGGCGGGCTTGATACGCGATGACCGCACTGCGGACCAGGCCTTCCTTCACTAGTCGCCTAACGCTCTTGTTCACGTCTTCCTTTTCCACGGGGATCCAGGCTTTGGGTATGCCGGTGAGTGCACTCCGGTTCGTGTAGATGCGTGTCGCGTAAATGAGAACTGCAATTATAAAAGTTATAACATATGCGCCGGTGATGAAAAAGACGTTGGTGAGTCGATTCGTCTCGTAGCATTGGTAGATAGCGTCCGCTGGTGTGAGGATGATGAGGCAGAAGAGGATGAGGGCAAAGAAGAAGAACCCGGTTGTGTTGAGAAAGCGCTCAAGTCTGACTGCCATGACTTCCCGTGTGCCAACTGCATGACACTTGGGTGAGATTTAGCAGATCTCAGCCATGAAGCGGAGCGAGTATGACGGGGAACAACAACTGCGATACCGATAAGGATATGATTTAAAGTTGAACACGTGATCCGCATTGCATAGGCACTTTCCCCGTTCGGTGGATTTTCAACAAACTTCCCCAGTGCTCACCTCGGGGGGAATTCCTTTCTTTTCACAGGCAGCTGACTGTCGCATACCTCTCTCATTTTGCGACATCAAGCAACAACCTCTCCGGCCTCAGCCAGCTTCAATTGGAAGTCTTTTCGCATAACCCCTTATCTCCGATATCAAGAAAAGTGCGAAGTCAACAAACTCACTGGAGCAACAAGCCATGGACCAGCCCAAGCCCGCTAGTGAGCAGCAAATGTTGCACATCCTGGTGACAGGTGCCAACAGGTACGAAACTTTTATACACCGGTTTAGCTCAATTCCCTATACTAACTTAGACCATCCACAGCGGCCTTGGGTTCTCTATCTGCTGCCGCCTTGCCGACGAGTTCCTCTCCTCTCACCCAGAATCTGAATCCCTCACCATAATATTCACAACCCGGAGCGCGCGCAAAGCCCAAGACACAATCCGCAGACTAGAAGCACACCTCCAATCGACCTCGCCCTCCGCATCCGCCGCGGCACGTGTGCACTTCGTCTCCGAGACCGTTGACCTTGGGGATCTCCGCTCGGTGCGTGCACTTTCTCGCAAACTAGTCCACACCCTCCCCCGACTCGACTCAATTGTCCTCAACGCCGGGCTGGGCGGCTGGTCTGGCATCAACTGGTTCAGGGCCATTTGGGACGTATGCACAGATCTCCTCCACGCGGTGACCTGGCCAGCCTACAAGCTCGCACCGGCGGGCGTGTTGACAGACAAGCAAACAAAGACAGAAGAAGAGCCTGCACTCGGAGCGGTCTTTTGCGCGAACGTCTTCGGTCACTATATGCTGGCGCACAACGTGGCTCCGCTGCTGAAGCGGGCGCGCACGAATGGGCCCGGCCGTGTGGTCTGGGTTTCCAGTGTCGAGGCGACTTGGAACTTCTTCGACGTCGACGATATCCAGGGTCTCCGCACTGATGCGCCATATGAGTCTTCTAAGGCTCTCACTGATCTCCTCGCGCTGACCTCCGATTTGCCGTGCACGGCCCCCTGGGCGATTGATAGCTTCCTGCAGTCCGAGACCGAGCTTGACACCCATGCTATCCACGCAGATGCCCCCGATGTGAACCCGCGCATGTACCTCTCTCACCCTGGTATTTGCGCTACATCCATCGTCCCTCTTATTCTTCCCCTTTCATGGGCGATGATTGCTGTTTTCTGGACTGCGAGGATGCTGGGCTCGCCCTGGCATCCGTTGTCTACTTACCTCGGCGCTTGTGCTCCTGTGTTCCTCGCCCTCGCATCGCAGGCAGACCTGGAAGCTGCGGAAGAGCCTTACCGCCGGGCCGGTGGTGGTCGAGCGAAATGGGGTTCGTCTTGCGGACGGCTTGGAAACGAAAGTGCGGTTTCTACTGAGGTCGACGGCTGGGGACATGGTGGTGTTGTCGGCACGCCTGTTGTTGAGGCAGACCGGCTCCGACGTCGTAAGCGCGGCGCGGAGGATCTTACCAAGGAAAACAGGGAACAGTTCGAGGAACTTGGACGCCAGTGCTGGAAGCAGATGGAAGAATTGAGAATTCAATGGGATGAAATCCTGGATCAAGCTGAGGCTCGTTCTGTAGAGACGGTTTGAAGGCAAAGAACCGCTTCCTCAAATACTCACATAACTATGCTTATCTTAAGTCTTTTCCTTGATTTTCTGCTGCTTGACTTATTCGAAGCAGAGCAGCTTCAATGACTGTATGTATGTGTCCCAAATTCTGTATGTAATACTAGTATGCTGTATGATACTTCTACCAAGATACCTGAAAATATGAAACATCTGAAGAATCGTGTTGAAGGCCAACTAAGCTTGTATCTTTTTTTTCTCTTTTCGAATTTCGCCTCCCATTATTTACATCAACAGAACCAGCCCCACGCCCATGTTCTCATTAAAACGGATATGGCATGATTTCCTTACCCACCAATTGCCAGAAGACCAGCAGATAAAAAAAATGAAAAAGAATTGGAACGAAAACAGGTGGCCAAACGCAAGGGAGCGGGGATGTAGTGACGAAACCCTCAATATGTAGCACTAAAACGGGGATAATTTGGAGGATAAAAGTAGAAAAACAAGACTAAAAGGGGTTATTTCTTGCAAAACAGCCGAAATCGCACGTTTTCACCATCTAGGTTTCTGAGTGCATTGATCGGACGAAAGGAAGTTGAGAGGGCGATAAACCGTCACTAGAAGAAAAGGCAAGCCGGCAACAGAAGAGAAGACAACGCAGTAAACGACTCCGGTTCTATGCATCAAGGAGGGCGGACTGGAGGGTGGTATCGGCACGAGAGTTGAAGGGAGGTATTTCAAAAGGCATAGCGACGTGAAGGAAGAGGGGGAAGTAGGAAAAGGGATTACATGATGATCGCGGGAACTGTATAAACTGATTAGTATAGGTCTATGAAAGATCAGAAGGAACCAGGACGTACCATCAATGTTTTGCTTGATGCTCTTGTGCGGCAGGATTGAACCACCATTGACATACACCTCGTCGGCAATAGTAACGTCGTCTCCGAGAACAGTGACGTTCTCCAGACGTGCCCAGCGGCCAACAGAGCTGTTCCAGCCAACAATGGTGGACTTGATCCAAGCGTGGTCCTTGACCTTGCAGTTCTCCATCACGACGCAGCGCTGAAGACGGACACCGTCGCCAATGACGACGTTGGGGCCAATAACCACGTTAGGACCGATACGGCAGTTCTTGCCGATCTTGGCGGAGGGGTCAACCATGACATTTCCGCCGTGCACGTAGGGCTCTGAGTGAGGGGCAAGCATCTTGGGGTTGCGCTTGGCCAAAGAAGTCAGGTACAGGCAAGTACCGGTGAGGAAATCCTTAGGTTGACCGACGTCCATCCAGAAGCCCTCGAGATCGAAGGAGTGGAGCTGGCCCTCCTTACAGATAGCGGGGAAGGTCTCCTGCTCGATGGAGGTCGGACGGAGGTCGATGCGCTTGAGAACGCTGGGGTTCAGAATGTAGATACCGGCGTTGATGCGGTTGCCAACGAATTCCACGGGTTTCTCGACGAAGCGGTCGATACGGGAGGCATGGTTGGGCTTGTGCACGACGACACCGTACTTGGAGGGCTCGTCCACCTTGGTGACGACAATGGTACCCTCATCACCGTGGTTCTTATGGAAGTCGGCGAGCTGCTTGAAGGGGTAGTCGCAAATCACATCCGAGTTGAGCACAAAGAAAGGCGAGTCATCCTTGCCCAAGATCTCCTCTGCCAGCTTGAGCGGACCAGCCGTGCCCAGCGGTTCGGACTCGACGGAGAACTCAATATTGACTCCGTATTGCTCCTCGTACTTCTTTAGAGCTGCAACCATCACATCCGGGCGGTAGTTGACGGCAAGAACGATATCAGTAACACCCGCAGCAGCCAAGCTCTCGACCTGGTGCAAGATCATGGGCCGGTTTCCGAACTCCACCAAGGGCTTGGGAAGGGTGAGGGTCTAGAACAATTGAGTATTAGCATTGCCCAGTAGAGAATAAGGCGTAACATATAAAAGGGATATATTTACCAGAGGACGCAGACGAGTTCCAAACCCTCCAACAAGAATGAGAGCTGTAGAGAGGGGTTAGCGGGGAGAAGTGGGAAGCATTGACTATACAACATACCCTTCATGATGAATTGAAAATGAAAGTAATAGAAAAATTAGAAAAAAAAAAGATTAGGAATAGTAAGGAGAATCAAAAGGAGAGAAAGACTCTCTGTTATTTAGGGAACACCTGGCCGTTGATGGATTTATTTTCGTCCAAGTGGGGGCACGTGAGTGGCGGTGATTGGAGGGGGCCTCTGTTTGCGGGAAAAAGGGGGCTCATATACTTCAACTTCCTTCAACTTCAGCTGTTGCGAGCTTGTTAGAGCTGTTTTGGGGATATAGAATTTATATTTTTATGAATGAATCAAGTGGTATTCAATGTACATTCTTTCACATGAAATTCCAAGTACTCAACATCTCTGACGCGTTCATGAAGTCTCTGGTCTCCTGAGCTTCTCACTAGCTCAGCCATCCCCGGCCAATATGTCCAATGCTATTGCATGGTTTCGACCGGGGCAATGCAGATGGCACCCGCGAAACTAAACCTCCAATTTCCTATGGTCATGAGATGTCGCCCCCCTGAAACTTAAGTTATGGGAATTTGTGGTTGGGTGATTATTCCCCGTACCCCCTCTCCCATCTTAGATACGATCATTAGTTTGGCACTTAGTATGGAGTACAAGACACATATTTACCAAGCCTATAATTTAACCCATGGACTATGTAAAGCATGAAAACAATGTATTAACTACTGCGTATCCGGAGGAGTCCACGTGGATGCGACATTCCAACCGAATTCGTCACAAATCGGAGCATCCAATTTCGTACTCGGCGAACCTTAAGAACCGGCTGATCATCGTGGGAGCTACCTTCTTCGATTCTGCCCTGGTAAAACCCAACTGCATCCGTCACATCCACCGGTTGTCGATGCAACAGCTCTACCGTAGTCATCCTCGGCGCAGACTCTGTCCATATACCCGATCTTGGAATGTACTGAGCCCGACGGTTCGGAGCAACACGATGTCGCGGGGCCGAATTGACGCCAACGATCGACGTAGGCGATCCGCTTCGTTGTTCTTGGCAGCGGTCTGCTTCTCTGGCTTGAGCCAAAAATTGACTGCAAACCCAGCCCTTGTCTCGTCTCCAACGACGAGCTCGATGAGATCCAATTCGGTTTTCCATTGTCGCGTTACTATCCGACGTGGGGATGAACTGCCAACACCCCCACGATCATATTCACTGTCATCGTTTGCGGTGCAATGGATTGGATGTACCTGGCCGTGGGAAGGTCTTGCAAATTGCTGAGGGATTCAGGGATATGCAGGATGCGAGGTGACCTTGGGGTGTCTGGTTTGTCCAACCTCGTAAAGCTAGCCAACATGCTGTCCTCGCCCAGACTGCTGTCCTGTATGGAATCTGTTACATACAAATCTGAGCCAGCTACCTCGGAGGTTTCATGGATAGCAAAAGAATGGTCGTAGAATTGAAGAATCGAATCTTCTGATTGTTCTTGTGTCGCATCTGTCGCATCTGCCGCAACAGCCAGTTGATGCGAGATGAAAAAAGCTGGATCCTCATAGCCTTGAAAAGAGTCATAATTGTCACCTAGCTTATCGACTGATGACCGCAACACCCTCCATCTTACAGGTGGTTGCTCCAGAGATAGCTGTTCTGGGCTGCTCGTATTGTCGTGAAAGGGAGGTATGGGCTTGTTGAGAAGCTCGTCTGTGTCCCAGTTCAGATTTGCTGACAACGGAGCCCCTACCAAGAAGATATTTTTTCGAGACATATCAGTCTGCATTAGAGGGCAGAATATGCAGGTCAAGGGGAGCTCTTGTCCTTGAGAAAGAGCGTAGACCGGAAGGTCCCTGAGGCCATTGAGCAAGACGTGTCACAAGGTCATTTTAATAGCGTCAAGAAGGTGAAAGAAGTTCAAACGCCCGTAGACGTCAAGTCGTTGAAATTCGTCAAGACCGGGGCGCGAACCATGGGCAGCTTTCTGTCGACACCGCAGGTGTACCTGCCCCTTTCAGCTACTAGTACCTACCCTGTTATTACAAATTTGCTCCAAATCACCATAAGCAACCTTAGTCATACGACATCCTCCATTGAAATGTCCTCTTCATTCCTTCGTCAGAGTTGATGAGAGCTGGCGACACTATAAGGACCTCTGGATATACCGTGCACGTGCCATCCAAGACCACGTGATGCTTCTACGGTCGCCCATTCAGACCCAAGTGGCCGTCGCCATTCGCCGCATCAAAGCGGAGCACACTATCGCCTTCCTCTCTATCTTCATTCTTGCGTCAGCGATGTCAGTCTCTTCAACTCGGACTTAGCAGATTCAATTTCGCTTTTCGGCTGTAAATTCGACTAAGAGGAGCACACGCCCATCCTCGCACCCCCGGCCGAGTGCCGCTGTATATTGGAGTCATGGCCTTCCAAGTCCCGATCCCCATGCCTGTGAGTATCACTTCGCAATATCTCATCCAGATCTCATGACTGACATGAGCAACCTGCTACTAGAATGTCGCTGCCGTGACATCGGATCTCTGGCCTTCAATGTATAACGTCCTGGCCGTTCCCTGGAAACAGACCGGGCGAACGACGACGACCAATGTCAGCGAGTCTCTCCAGCGCAGTACTAGCCGACAAGGAAAGGAGACGGTATGGCATAACCTATTATCCATTTGATGCCACTCCATGCTGATGAAGACAGATAACTCAACGCCCGACCTTGCCTGAATATTTGGAAGGTTTTTCCATCGAAGCCCTACGAGCGGACATCGTCAGCCGGCCGTCGCAACAAACATGGTCGTCATTGCTGAACCGAAGTATGTTTTGGCTTGAGCAAACTGCCTTGGCGAATTATTCTAACCATCGATAACAGACAACGTACTTCGGGCCACTTCATCTTTTACCCCGATCCGCCATTCTCTCCCCGCTGCCCGTTCATACTCAACCCTAACCCCATTCCGCCTTAACTCCCTACGCGCTCCCCCGAAGGTCAGTGGCCTGTCGAAGTCACAACAGCAACGGTTCTTGTTCGGGGGTTCCTGGCATCATGTACTAGCTCAGAAGGAGAAGATCGCCAACAAGAGCCCGAACAACGCAGATGCTCAAAATGCTCTCTATTCGGCTCTTCTGCGTGCCAAGATGCCGGGCATAGTTATCGAACGACACCGGAGTGGATATTTTGCAGGCGATCTGACAACTGAAGCATTGGTCCAACAGGCCCAGTCAAGCGTCGGTGGCGCCGACGCTGGTGCTGGTGCTTTCGCCGGGCCAAACCACAATCTGAGCCCTGAACAGCTCCAGGCAGTTGGCCAAGCGGTCGCTGCCCGGGCTACTGGCAGTCAAATCGGAATGGGAAAACAAAACGGTACCGGTGCCAAGGACGCTCCTCTTTACGTCGTGGTCGACGAGTCTCTCGGAAGCACAGTGTTCCGCTGGGTCAAATTCTTGCTCATTTTCGGCTTTTTCACTTACATCTCTCTGGTCACGGTCACTATCTTGGTTGAGACCACTGGCGTTCTGAAGAACGTTCGAGGTGCGCAGGACAAAGAAGCTCAGCCCGAACAGCAAACCGCTCGCTTCAGTGATGTGCATGGCTGTGACGAGGCCAAAGATGAGCTGCAGGAGCTGGTGGAATTTCTTCTCAACCCAGATCGGTTCTCTTCCCTAGGCGGTAAGCTGCCCAAGGGTGTTCTCTTGGTTGGTCCTCCCGGTACTGGTAAGACCTTGCTTGCGCGTGCTGTTGCTGGCGAAGCGGGTGTCCCATTCTTCTACATGTCTGGATCTGAATTCGATGAGGTATACGTCGGTGTCGGTGCCAAGCGTGTTCGTGATTTGTTCGCTCAGGCCCGTGGCAAGGCTCCGGCTATCATTTTCATCGATGAACTGGATGCGATAGGTGGAAAGCGAAACGAGCGTGACGCTGCTTATGTCAAGCAGACACTCAACCAGTTGCTCACGGAACTCGATGGATTCTCCCAGACTTCCGGTGTCATCATCATTGCTGCTACCAATTACCCTCAACTCCTGGACAAGGCCCTCACTCGACCCGGTCGGTTCGATCGTAGGGTTGTTGTTGACCTGCCTGATGTTCGTGGCAGAATGGACATCTTGAGACATCACATGAAGGAAATCCAGTTCGGTCCTGATGTTGACGTTGGAGTCATTGCACGGGGCACTCCCGGCTTCTCCGGTGCTGACTTGGAGAACTTAGTCAACCAGGCTGCAGTCCATGCCAGCCGTGACCGCAAGGCTTTTGTTGGCCCGCTCGACTTCGATTGGGCCAAGGATAAGATCATGATGGGCGCCGAGGCTCGCAGTCGCATCATTCAAGACAAGGACAAGCTCCTGACTGCGTATCACGAGGCTGGTCATGCCCTTGTTGCACACTTCTCTCCTTCCTCCACTCCGCTATACAAGATCACTATTGTTCCCCGTGGTATGGCCCTTGGTATCACTCACTTCCTGCCGGAAATGGATACTGTTTCAAGGAACTATACCGAATACTTGGCAGACATCGCCGTCTCCATGGGTGGCAAGGCTGCTGAAGAGCTGGTTTTCGGCCACGACAATGTCACTAGTGGTATCTCAGCTGTAAGTCTTGCTGGTTGTGATTTTGATTTTCTTTTTTCAATACTAACGGTCTCTTTAGGATATCCAAAGTGCCACCGAGACGGCCTTCACGTTGATCACCCGGTTCGGATATTCCAAGAAACTCGGCAACGTCGACCTGTCTACAAACTACGACAGCCTATCATCGGAAACCAAGCAAGAGATCGAAGCTGAAGTGCGCCGGCTTGTAGAGGAGGCCCGTGACCGAGCAACCAACATCCTGACGGAAAAGCGCAACGAACTTGAGCTTTTGACGAAGGCGCTCATCGAATACGAGACGCTCACGAAGGAGGAGATGGAGCAGGTGCTGAAGGGCGAGAAGCTCAACAAACTCATATCCACCCCTAGTGCGCCGCTGAAGCTTCCCAGTGCCTTGCAATCGGCCAATCTCAACCCGTCTGCGGCAGGAAGAGCACCCACGGCCAATGAATAAGTCACCTCCTCACACACTCTGTAATCTCCTCTTTTTCATCTTTCCCCTGTCTTATTTCCTTTGCTCTACAAAACACCCTCCTACCGTGTTTTTCGTCTCCATCGTGCATCCCCTAACCACTCGGGCGTTTATTGAAAATACCATATTTCCTTGGTTCTCTTTCCTACATCATGTCTCAGTCAGATCCGCGTTGACTCTGGTTTTCGACTCGCTTTTCTGCGTGCGTAGTTACCATTTGAAGCTTGAATCGATCTCTGTACATATTCCTTGTATTTTGTATTATGTATGCTATCCGTATATGTCACAATCTACAATCTATCTGTTAGTAAACCAATACACCAATGTAGGTAACCTGGAGGCAATTGATATCCCGATTCTTCTCTCATCTCCACACCTCCAAATATAGTAACAAGCCAAACCCTAAAATCCCAAGAATCCCAAGTCTGGCTCCGTGGGGATCATGACTTCACCGGCGCATCACTGCCCAGGCACTGAAATCACGTCCTTGATTTGAAGCTTCTCCACTGTCATGATGTCATGGGGGGTTTTTTTTGGCTTAACTCGGAGAATTATCTGATGAACTGGTTTTCAGTGTTGACATATGGAGATATTACGATTAAGTTTGATATTCAGGGTTCGTTTAGATTCTTTAGTAGAGATAATATTTAGAATTTTTTTTTCTTCATTTCCTCACAAACGGTTTGTATATACAGTGCCAAGTTGAGCTTGTTCCAGAGAGAAACAGGCCAACGGCAAAATGGAGGAAAAAAAAGGGTCAAACCCCAGCTCATCTTCTGCAACAAACGACTCCCGTCATAACGGTCATGATGAAGGGGGACATGGGCGTGGCGAACGCCTATTAGGACGGACTTTCTAGTCGGAAATTCTCTAAATATGTATAAATGGGAAAACTCGAGGTTGTCCAAATGTCCCCCCCGGAAAAGAAAAATGAAACAATCCGGGTATCTCCAAGAGAGGATACGTGCGATATCCGGTTGATATGATCTTCATGTATAACCCTCCTCTCAAATCTCTCTCCTTGCGCGTGTATGTATCGTGCATGGTGTGAGACGCACAAACTGGGCCGCGGGGTCGATGACGGTATTGGGGTCATCTCAAAGGAATATGTAATAAAGTTGTTTATTCGTCGTCATGGTGTTCCTCTCTGTCCTCGTCGGCCATCCAGCCGCGCGACATCTCCACGGCCTTGGACCACTTTTTATACATGCGGGCGCTGGCTTTGACGGACATCGCGGGGGTGAATGAGGCTCGGTTGGCGCGGTTCATATGCTTCAGTTCGGAGAAATCCTTCCAGATGTCGATAGCGAAGCCGGCGGCGATTGCGGCGCCGAGGGCGGTGGTTTCGTGCATTGAGGGTCGTTCGACGGGGATTTGAATGATATCGGCTTGGGTCTGAAACGAGAATAGCAGTTAGTGGTGTGGTCTGAGGATTGATTTCAAGAGAGAAACTTTTGAAACGCACCTGCATGCAAACGTCGGAGTTACTCATGCCGCCGTCCACAGCCAGTTCTGTCAGGCCCTTGCCGCTGTCCATTGCCATGGCGTCGAGGATAGCTTTCGTTTGGAAGCAGGCCGCTTCCATGGTTGCACGGGCAATGTGTCCTTTTTGTGTGTGGGCGGTGATTCCCCCTGGTGAACGTTAGCGACAACATTGTGCGAGACGAAGCACCGTGTTCGAGACTTACAAATAGTTCCCTGGGCATCATCGA